CTAAGATATATTTTCTTTCTACTGACAGGAGCATGTTTCTCATAACACACATCAAGTCTCCCCACCCCATGCCTCTGGGATCAATGGTGTCAGCTTACAAGTGGGCTTAGAGGACTGAGTGGGCTCAAGGATGGGAATCTGAGCAGGATTGGCAGTGAAAGAGATTACTGATGGCCAGGGAGAGTCCTGAAGGAGGTAACCTAGAATCTATATATTGTAAATTACAGAATTTGGAGTTTGCTGGGACCTTAGAGTCTGCTCCAAACTTTCCTTTTTATGGTTGAGGAAATAAAAGGCTATGTGAATTGGCAATGATTCCAAGTGAGTTAACAGCAGAGGCAAAATTTAACCACCTTCCTAGCCCTATGTAATAGTTAATTTCATGTGCCAACTTGATTAGGCTATGGTGCCAGCTGTTTGATCAAAAGCTAGTCTAGATGCTGCTGTGAATGTCTTTTGTAGACGTGATTAACCTCTACGATCATTTAACTTTAAGTAAAGGAGATTACCCTCAATAATGTCAGTGGGCCTCATCCAAACATCTGAAGACCTTAAGAGCAAAAAGCTGAGGTTTCCTGGAGAAAAAGAAATTCTACCTCAAGACGGCAGCATAGAAATCCTGCCTGAGTTTCCAACCTGCCAGCTTGTGCTACAAATTTCAGGTTTGGCCATCTCCCAATTGAACGAACTGATTTCCTTAAATAATTATCTATCTACACACATACACACACACACACGCACATCCTTTTGGTTCTGTTTCTCTTGAGAATCCTGGCACAAATTGTGGGATCAAGAGTGGGGTGCCCTGTAACAAACACCTAAAAATGTGAAAGTAGCTTTGGAATTGGGTAATGAGTACGAGCAGGAAGAATTTTGAGGTGCATGCTAGAAAAAGCCTGGATTGCCTTGAAGAGACTCTTGGTGGAGATATGGTGTTAAAGGCAGTTCTGGTGAGGGCTCAGAGGCAAACACAGAGAGAACGCTATGTGGTAACAAAGGCAGAGAGGGGATCGAGGCTGACACAAATCAAGGAACTCCTGGGGCTACCAGAAGCTGGAAGAGATGAGGAAAAATCTGCCCTCAGAGGCTTTGGAGAGAGCATGGCCCAGCCAGCACCTTGATCTTGGACTTCCAGCCTCCAGAACTGCGAGGGAATAAACTTCTGTTGTTTCAAGCTGCCCGGTTTGTGGTGCTTTGTTACCGCAGCCCTAGGAAACTAACACACCTGGGATTCTGCTATGATTCTGGGGCAGTGCTAGACTCTAGGGCTACAAAGAAGAAAAAGACAGGGTCCTGCCTCTCAAAAAACTTATTTTTTGCTAACTATAGGATTTAAAGGTAGGATAGCCATGGACTGGTCTACCATGACTGTGGAATAATGGAGGGTGGCGCAAACGCTCTGAATATCACCCTGCTGCCATTCTCGGCTATCAGGTACCAGTACCTTTCTCTAACCTTATAAATGGGTGGTTTTAACAACACGGGCTATGAATTAGAAGTGCTGGGTCTGTGTGGCCTGGAAAGGGTAGGGAAGTTTCCTGGAGGAATGATGGCCTTAGTCTGGTCTGGAAAGATAGATGGGAGTTAGATGGACAGCGAGTAGAAAAGAATGCATTCCAGAAGAGCAAATTCTACAGGCATAGACGTGGAGGTGGGGATGAATGAACCACTATTAAGCTCCTACTGTGTGCTGAGAACTGTAGGTTTTGTCTCACTTACCTCTCAAGCATCCTAGCAGGGTGGGTATTATTTTTCCTGTTTCAAATATGAGGATGTTGAAATTCAAAGGCTTGCCTAAACTCCTGTGGCTGGGAAGAGGCGGAGCCTCTCCAACCCAGAGTCATGGCACCTTCCTGGCATAGTGAGGAGACCAGTCGGGCAGAATGAAGGTTCCTCTTGACAGCGACTGAGAAAGTTGTTTCTCTTACTTACATTGGCACCATTTCCTCCTTTGGGAGGTTAAGTTAACATGGTAGATTATCTGAACATAGACTGAAAAAATAAAATAACCAATTCTAGGCTACTAGCACAGCATTTTAATAGTTTGGTGACTATGTCTGAAATATATGTAGCTAATCCTGGGGCAAGCAGGAGCATTTTCACCATCTATGTTGATCGATTACCGTGACTGGTGGGATATAACGGGGCCCGACCTGCCGTGTGGCTTTTCTCTGTCACGGAATCAGTGATTCTCTAGCACTGAGCCGAGTTGTGTGTCCCAGTTTATGTTGCTTTTTTGAAATAAATTTGTCCTGTGCTAGTCACTGTTATCTAATCCGGAAAGAGGTTTCAGGCGGCAGTTCCTTCAGGACCACCCTGTGCAGGTTGAAGCTGAGGGCGTCCGGACAGCTTGGATTTTGTGCTCTAAATATCTCGGTGGCCAGTACTCCACATTCTACTGCTTCATCACGTGGGGGAAAGAACTCCGTGCTGGGAGCCTGGAAATTGCCCAGGTGTGGCTGAGATTTATTTAGCTTAGCTGAATGCCGTGTATTGCTTTGAAGGCTTTATGTGGAAGCTCTCCCTCTAAAGCTCTGCTGGCCCCACTTCCTGGAGAGGAAACTCCATCTTGGATTACAGAGCTCGCTGCAGTGACTTAGCGGGACACGGTGGAGCAGGTAGTCGCATTCAGGGCCATCTCAATCCCGAGTCCATTCTCTCAACCACTTTGCGCCACTGTCCTTTTGGGTACATAGTGGGTATGCAGTAAACAGACGGGTTGTCGAATGAGCATGTTATCATTGACACACATTCACTCATGACGCTGGGGTGAGTTTTTTCTCCGGTTTTATATTCTTATCTTTAAAATGCAAATGGTAGGTTAGGAGACCTCTAAATCCCCTTTCACAGTGTCCATCTGTGATTCTAGGATACACTGAAATGTTTGGTTATCTGATTAATTTCAAGAGCAGGCCATCTCCCAAGTTAATTTTCCTCTCAGAAACCTCACAGAGAACATAAAACTTGCTTCATATTATGGATAGTCTCTGTTTTGGTGAATCTAATAATTTCATTTAATTTATTCACTCATTTTCATCCCTTCTTCCTAAGGATTTGAGAATTTAAAAATTACAGGGAAGCAAAAAAGAACAGAGGAAGCCATAAAAGTAAAATGAGGTCAGGGTAAAGTCAGTAATCCAGACACGTGAAGGCTCAGCACCATTGCCAAGGGGGGGTTACATCTCTGGCGGTGAGCTTCGGAGCGATCAGCTTTTCTAACAGACAAAAGAAGGGCGCCGGGAGCTGCCTGGTTCCATAAACATGGTTACCGTTTACTACGAAGGTATGGCTGCAGTGAGGCAGTGAGCCTGGACTTGATGCTACCTGGTGGGCTCACAACTCAGAGTGAGACCCGTCTCCCTGCCAGGCAGAGGCCTGGTGGGGCTGGGATAAACTAGACAAGCCCCGGGGCTCAGCGGAGTTTGGGCAGCCTCTACTGTGGTTTCAGCCTGTGAACCATGAGGCAGAGACCGGCAGACAAGCCCTTGGGTGTGCTGGAGGCAGAGGCGGGAGGCAGGGTCAGCGGGGGTCGAGGGTGGGGTGGTGCTACTGAGGCTGAGACTGCTAATCTGAAATCAAGCTGTTGATCCATGGGAGTTGACGAAGAATTAGAGCCAAAAGGAGACGAAGCCAAAAGGGGGGCTGTGAAACCTGGAAAGAAAGAGAATAGAAGGAGGAGTGAAGCAAAAACTAGACGGTGGATGGCCTGGAACAATTCCAGAGTCAGAATGTGGGTGACAGCGGTATTTTTTATGCTGTCACCACATAGGCTCGGGGGCCCATGCTGGGTGTATTTAAGAAGCGGGTGGACAGTAGACAGGCCTGGAGAAGCGCCTCCACTCTCTAGTCCGTTAGTCTCTCTGAGGCCCAGAAAGGAGGTCCTGCCTCGAAGCCAGCACCTGTGTGACCCTAATCTCCTGTCCCTTACCTCTTCCAAATGGTTTCACCAGAAGCGTTGGCAATGAGCTGAGCACTCAAGATGGACACTGAGAAATCCCTGAGAGCTCTGGGCCTGAACACACCGGAAGAAAACCTCCGTTTGCTTTCAGGATGTGGGCTATTTGGGAGAGGAGCCTATGCTGACAGATGGAAACACCGCTACCTGTCACTTTGCAGGGCCACAGGCACACCTGTTAATTGTGCTGACCTTTCCTGGTGGAGGCAGCGTTCAGAGTTCTTGCTTGGAGTATGGAGGGGCCGGGGGTCGTGGTGTCAATCAAGTTGCCATGGGATGAAGCTAGCTCCCCTCTGCATGAGCACGTGAACTGGCCCTCTTCTGTCCAAGACCAAAAGCAACGCGCTCCTCTAACAGCTGTATTTCCATTGCAGGCCCTTGGAGAGCAGTAACTCGTTTAAAATTGAGTCAGGGTTGGCAGGAACCCTGGGTGGAACGGCGGCTAGATCCGCATGATCTTTCTTTCCCTTTTACTCATACTATTTGCCATGTGAAACACTTTGTAAACAGTAAGGCATTAGTAAATATCAATTAATATGATCTTATCATTCATTCAACAAATATTTGCTGGGCCTCTAAGACGGACCAGATGCTGGGCTAAGTTCTGGCCATATAGTTATGAATAAGACACAGTCACTGTTCTCAGGACTACAAGAAGTGGGGGAGATAATGCAACTACATAATCACAAACAACATCGTCCTCAAGCAAACCGGGAGTACTCACGGCAGCCCCGAGGCTGAACCCGGGCTGAGGGTCGGGCGGGGGATGGAGAGTCGTAAAGGAGGAGGGTTCAGGGAAGAAGATTCCTGAACTAAGTGCTGAAAAAGTGATTCCAAAGTGGTTTGTGTGGCAGGAGACATTCCAGGCAGAGAAAACAGCAGCAGCAAAGGCCTGAGGCAGGAGAAAGCCCATGGTGGGCAAGAAGCTTTGAAGGTCAGCACCGCTCAGCAGTTTGCAGAAGGAAGCAGGAAAAGAACACGGATGTGTGCTAGTTAGGACAGCAAGAGCCATGATGAGTTCCAAAAGGAGTCTGGACTTTTTGAAATAGGTGATGGAGAGATACTCAATTGTTTTTAAGAGGGACAGGTTTTTTCTTTTGTGACTTGACTGTTTTATTATTAATTATTATTATTTCAGAAAGAACACTCTTGTCACACAGAGAGTTCTCACTTCCGGATGGGTATGAGAATGAACTGTGGAATTTTTTAAACAATGCACCTGGCTGGATACCACTCGAGGTGTGCTAAGTCAGAACCCCATGGTGCAGAACTGAGTGATTTCTCATCCGAGCAAGGAACGAGGCCCCTGGAGCTGCGCAGATGTGAGGGGAGTGAGAGGAGACCGCAGGTGAGCAGTTAGGCAGCTTCTGTAATGGTCTGAGTTCACGTGACTGATAAACGGTACAAGACGGTCTGAGCATTGCTGTTGTGTATTGGTCTGTTACCTGGGGCTCAATTCACTAATCCCCCACCCACTGGAGCACCCACTGGATGGCACGTGGCAAGGCAGCCAGGGCCCTGCCCTAAGAAGTGTGTGGTCTAATGCAGTGGTCCACTCCTGGGCTGCACAGAAGAATCATCTGGAGAGCTTTTAAACAATGCAATGACTGGCCTCCACCCTATACCAATGAAATCAGAATCTCTTGCGGAAAGGATATGTAATGCCTAACCGAAGTACAGGGTAGGAGATGGGAATGTGCCAAAGGTTATTAGGGAAAATGGGGTGACAGGCTCTGAGTGTGCAGAGGAAGGGACCTTGGGAGGGACTGCTGGAGGAGGCACGCCTCAGGGTGTGGACAGAAGCTGTGGAAGCCGGCGCATTGCCCATAGACTGAAAGACGTGCTCTCAAACACCTCGTGCCTGAACCCTGCAACTTGGTTCTGGCTCTCCCTCTCCTGGCTGTGCTGTCGCCTTAGGCATTTGTCTAACATCTCTGTTCTCACAATTGTCAAAGGTAATCCACCAGACTAGGGGGCTTAGACAACAGAAATTTATTCCCTCACGGTCCTGGGGCTGGAAGTCCAAGATCTGGGTGTCTGCAGGGCTGGTTCTGAGGACCGTCAGAGGGAATCTGTTCCACTTCTCTCTTGGAGCTTCTGCTGATTTGCTGGCATCTTTGGCATTCCTTGGCTTCCAGAAGCTTCACCCTGGTCTCTGCCTTCATCTTCACATGGTGTTCTGCCTGTGTACGTGTCTGTGTTCAAATGTTCCATCTTTATAAGGATACCACTTACACTGGATTAGGGCCCACCTTAGCAACCTCATTTTAATCTGATTACCTCTGTAAAAACCCTGTCTCCCAATAAGGTCACATTCAGGAGTTAGAACTTCAACATGTGAATTTTGGGAGGATACAATTCTACTTATAACAGCTTGGAATACAAATATCATTATTATAATATCATTTCTACACATCTTTGAACATTAGGTGCCAGACTCTGCATAACATTATCTTATTAATCCTCACCGAAACACTGGCAATAGAAAGGTATTGACTTTATTTGGGAAATGAAGAGGCCGCCGAGCTGCAAAGAGCTGTAGTAGCTGCCTGGGGTCACGAACGGGAGGCCAATGGCCAAGCTTTCCTAACCCAGCTCTGACCGTGTGTTATTCATTACATTCCCAGAAAGGATGGGGTAAGCCTGACTAAGCTCTTAAAGCCCTTTCAGGTTTCTGAGAGCTGTGTTTTTCTGTCGGGGAAGAGTGAAAGGCTTATTTGGCTTTGCCATTCTCAGGAAAATGCAACTCTGCAGGACTCACGGGAAAGGTATGCACGTATTGAATTAGTAACAGGATCCTGAAGTACCAGCTGTCTTTCTTTATTCATAGCTTTTCAGAGCTGGAGGTACAGTACAGAGCAGGAGGAGGAGGTAAGAGGAGGACAGGAGGTTGTGTAATTCCTACAGGAAGAAAGCCAAAAAGAAAAGGAAAAATGCAAGCAGCATAGGCACAGGCGACTTTACAGAAACAAGATGACTGTTTAACTGCGTCCTGAAATGGTCACGGAGCGCAGGCAGGGCTGGAGGAACGGTTGCCTTTTGCTGTTTTGCCCGAGGCATGATCTAGACTTCATAAATTATCAGCTCCCCTGCTCAGCTCAGTTCAGCTGCGTTCAAGAAACACGTACTGAGCAGCTATGTAGGCTGCAGGCACACATACAGAGACAGGCCATGATCTGCAATGGCTCAGAGTCTGTAGGGGCTGCAGACCCACAAAGAGATCACCGTGGAACTATGTGCAGTAGAAAGCAGAGGAGATGTGGGAAAGCCCAGGGGAGGCTCCTGAGCAAGCCTGGGGCAGGGGGAGGAGGAGATGATGGCTGAATCTTCAGAGACGAGTATGGAGTAGGAGGGTAAAGTAAGAAAGGCAACAGCATGAGCAAAGACACACACGTGCAGAACAACATCCGTGGTAACACACACACATGGTGACCAGCACGCATGAGTATTTTAATTTGGGCTACATGTGCCTTTTCTGATGAGGTGAATAGTGCCAAGCTTTTCTTCAAGAGTTAAGGCAGCACACTTTCCTAGGCTCTTCCACTAGACTCTCACAGGCGCCGGAATATAACGCGACTCCTTCACCATTACAGCTTTGTTTTGGCACAATAGACTTAGAGTTGCCGAATATATACTCAGCTGAATATGAATTTCAAAAACCAAAACACTTTAAGGAAAGGATAAATTATTAAGAGCACATCTATTAAAGCCAGCACTTAGGAACTAGCTACGGATTGGTTCTGCATAGAGCGGGGAAGAGATTCTGGACACAGTCTTCAGGTTCTTGTGCCATAACAGCTTGCAAATGTTAGCTGACCCAGGTAATAAAAAGAGAAGTTCACATAACCCCTGCTAACTATTAAAATTCTTCCATTACCTTCTCTTGAGATCACCCAAAGATTAGCCAAACATTAGGGAACATGTCCTGCTGTTGCAGAGTTTTATGTACTATGTCTTCCTGCTGGTAAAATGATGCTTAGTTTGTACAAGCTGCAAGGGCCAGAAATTCAGAAAAAGAATCTATTGTTAGTATAAATAGACTCCTCTCCCTTCTATTATGCTAGCAGAGATAGCAGATAAAGCAACCACATCACAGAGATACATTTTTCCTTGGAACAAAAGCCTGTTTTCTTTGTAATGTTAATCCTAACATGTTTTTTAGAAGAAAATTAAATATTGATGAACCTTTTAGAAAATTTGTGGATGATAATGTGTCTTAATTCGTTACAAAAACTTTTAAAGAAATGGATAATTATTCTTTCAAAATTACCTTTCTTACTGTAAACACTTTGACTTCCATTCTAATGAAATTTTTACTGTTCCATTATAAATCTGTGATGGAACTCATCTTTAAGACAGGTACTTTAAAATTTGAATCCTGACTTGTATTGTTTTTAAGGTGGCACATTTGCGAGTACATGGATTCTTATTGTTTGAAAGTATGTGTGTCATTCAAGAAAAGCAGAAGTTACTTTAAGTACTTAACACAGGAGGAATTTAATCCAGGGAATTCGCTACACTGGTAATGGAAGATCAGAGAAGCCAAATAGAATTATAATAAATAGAACAAGGCAACCCAGAGATTAGCAGAAGAAGGAAAGCCAGGACCACTCTGGACGGATAGCAGAGAGATGAGGCTATGCTACCTAAGGCCAGGGGCCAGGGCGTCAGTCAGGCTGGAAAGACGTTCCAAGGCTAGAGTGAAGAGGGAGACGGGAAACAACCCAGGTTTTCCCTTCCTCCAGCATTCCTGTTTCTTTCATCCAAGACACAACTTTGGCCAACTGGAGCCCACAGCTGGCTGAGAAGGGAGTCTGGGAACTACAGTGTCAGCCCCCATGCAATGTAGCCTATAGGAGAGAAAGAGCCAGGAATAGATCTATGGGCAAACAGGCCAGCTTTTCCCTGACTTTACTGACTTGTCAAGGGAGAAGGGATAAGGACGTACGATAAGGACCAGAGAGGGGAGAGAGAGGGGAGGAGAGAGGTGGGTCTCAGGTGGAGAAATAGAGATACAAGCCTGAATTAAAGTGCTCATCTTCCTTTCTGTCTTTTCCTCTACACTCTGGAGTCTGAGTCTGTCTGATGTGATTTCCGATTTTAATCTTTTTCTCAGCCTTCATGCTTTACTCTCTGTGTTTTAAAAGTTACCGCCAGGGCCAAATGGGTTCCTCCCTAAGAAGTACATTTGTTGGGGGTACCTAGGGCCAGTTCTGTGGGAAGAGAGCATTCTTTAGGCGCAGAAAGATGGCTGCTCCTCTCTGTTATTTGTCTTGCTACGTATGTGGCCCTCCCTTCTCACCTGCTGCCAGCCTGGAGCTCCCGAGAGCAGGGACTGCTCCGTGTCTCACAGTGGGCTGCAGACAGCAGGTGCCCGATGCGTTACAGCCAGCATTTGAAACTTGGCTCTGCCATTAACTAAGTCTATGACGTTGGGGAAGGGATTAATTTCTCTGAATTAAGTTTTCTCATCTGAAAAATGGAATGAAAGGTTCTTAATAGCTCTTCTGGATAGTTTTTTTTGTGAATAACTTATGCAATCTATCAAGCATTTGCCTGGAAATTAAGCTTTGATTATTAATCATTTTTAATAGATAATTCTTGCTCAGATCACTGCAATAACCTCCTAAAAGTCTCCCCACATCTACTCTGACCTCCAAGTGTCTGTTCTCAACATAACAGCCAGAGTGACCCCTTCGAAAGGTATGTTGGATCTCCATGTCACACCCACTGTTATCCTATGATGGCACCCATCACCCTCACAGTGAAAGCCACGCTCTTCCCAGTGGCCTACAAGGCTCTGTCACCGGGTTCCCATTGTGGCTGGGACTCCGTCTCCCCTCCCTCTGCCATCCACACCCCATGCACCTGCTACTCTGGCCTCCTTGCTGTTCCATGGTCAGGCTCACTCCTGCCTTAGAGACTTCACATTGGCCGTTCCAATACTCCCTTCCCCTGACGTCCACACAACTAACCCCTCATATCCTTCAAGCCTTCACTCAAATGTCACCCCGTTACTGAGGCCTCCTCCAACTCCTCTCTTTAAAATTGCGCCTCCCTCCACCACTTTGCCCAATATCCGGGCACTTCTGATCCTCCTTCATCTGTTAAACTTTTTGTTTTTTCCACGGCCCTTATCGTCTCTTCACATACTCAGTAATTCACCCGTATTAGACTTGATTCCCCTTGCATAAATTTCAGCTGGGAGAGACCAGGTTTCTAGTTCTGCTCTTGCCACACAGGTGATGGGGCCCCCCTCGGGGTTTCTGTGTCCTCATCATTCTGGGGAAAAGGTTGGTATAGATGAGCTCTAACTTGCCCTCAGCATTTAAATTCCATTGTGTTAGCCCATGCAAACATTTTGAGAAGCCATCTGCTCTGCAAGTGGAGCTCCCCTGTATTTCCCCTCACACATCTGTCCCCATTGTCAGGCTGGAGGCAGTGGATTAATAATATGAGAGACCAAACTCGCAAATGAGGGAAAGCAGAGTGAGAAGGCTTCCAGAACATCCCTCATCTCTAGAGGCACAGGGCTCTCAGAGCAGCTGTCTGGCTCTCGCCCTCTTCGTTCAGGGCTTCTGCCTATCCGCATTTCCTAACATGGCCACTTCCTTGACTGTGGGAGGAGAACAGGATGCTGAGACGACCAGAGTCCAAGTTCAGCTTGCATCCCTCTACAGGATGAGCTCCTCAGCCACAGGTGCAAGTCCATTCACCCGTTTATCTGCCCATTCAACAATTTGTTCATTCCTTTCTTCAGCCTATTGTCCTTCAGCTCTAGGAGCCTTCATAAGATATCTCTGGATTTATTACAATTCCTCTCAAATCATTAGTTTTTCTCATTATTCTTATTTTTTGTCTCCCTGAACCCTTGCTCATGCTGTTGCACAGCCCTCCATGTCTTTGCCTGTCAAAATCCTCATCGTCATTTTAGGTGTCTGAGGCAGAAGCAGCAGTGCTCAGTAACAAGGGCCAACTCTTAGACATTTTCCAGCCACCCTTGCACTAGGTTAATTGTGTGACTAATTCTTGCTGAAGGACCGTGGATAAGAATGACTTGTGTCTCTTCCAGAGTGAGGTATCCTCCTGACATGCTCTGCTACCCATCTGCCAGCTGATGATATTAGGCCAGCTGGGGCCAGCCGATGGTGGAGTCACAAGATGGACACATCACAGGTCCCTGAGTGGCCACCCAGAGGACAGCGACTGTGAAGAGGATGCTGAGGGGAGTTGCATGTGGTGAGTGGGAAATAAACTTGACTGTGGAAGCCAGTGTCAATTTTGTGGTTACTTGTAAATAGGTCAATCATTCAACAAATAAATATCGATCAATAAGGTGATGAAATACATATAATGATGGATAAAACAGACCTAGAACTTGCCCGCAGGGAGCTTAGAGCTCAGTGTGGGAGACAGACTCTACCCAAATATCACTGGGTGTACACCAAGTGTAGGTAGTTCTGGGAGGAATTGTTCAGGGGTAGAATGATGGCACAGAGTGTGTATGTCTAGTGTGGAGGTCTCACCAATGAGACTGGATCCAACCTGAGGTTCTGGAAGGATTCCCCAAGTAAGAGAAATTGGAGCTAAGATTGGAAGGATGAAGGCACTGAGGCAGGGAGGGCTTCTAGAAGAAGGGCCTGTGTTCAAGGGCCCCAGGCCAAGCTGCGTCTCTGGAGTTGCTAAAGGAAGACCAGTGGGATTATCTGTGTGCGCAGTGAATTCAGCCCATAATAGGGATTAATAAATGTTTACTAAATGAATGACCAAATAAAGGAGCCAGTCATTTAACTGATGTAGGAAAAGATCAAAAAGTATCTACATCTATAAAAGAGGCGTATGAGGAGTGCCCCTCATTTAGAATCTCCCTCTACCCCAAACCACGATTAGAGAGAGGAATGTGAAAGCCTTTCTCAATCTATGTTTTGTAACGTGAAGCTTTGTAAGGGGCTTATCCTGTATTTCAGCCCCCGTGAAGAAGATTCCTCTAGAACCCAGCTCTCTCCCCACAGGCATTGGGAAGCCATAGGCGCTTCCTCAGGCAGAGGAAAGGGCAGTCTGCTTTTCACGTATTCTACAGAATTGGAAAAAAATTGATTGGTGGATCTTTATGGCAGATCTGGGCAGAGTGTTTGGGAGAAGATGCAGAAATCTATTTCTAGTGTCCTGCAGTGCCATGATGGAGTAACCCTGTGTGCTATTCGGTGGTTGATGAACGGATAATTTATATTTTATAATGTAAACTGTCAGAGTTTCCTTTATGTAATGACAACAGACTATATACAGCTACCTTTGTGGAACCTAAAAACATCATCGCTTGGGGCTAGAGGTAATGGGCAATAAATAATTTAGCAACAAAGCGCTCTTCATTCTATTTACAGTGAGTTAGAATTCATCTCCGTGGCCAAAGTGAAACACCACTTACTAGATGGCAAGATCCAAATATATCTCCAGTGTAACTCGATTCGCACTGAAAAGGCTCCAACAATTCCGAAGATACTTCAGAGCTTGGACTGTCCCTGTCCTGAAAATCAACATAGATCCTCTTTCTTCTCCTGGCTGCTTTTACTCCAAATTAACTCCATGTTGGATTTATACGTATATTTGTTTGTATTTTCAAATGCATTTCTCACTTCCTAAAATGCTTTGGATAGAAACCATGGCACCTCAGCCTGTAGCTGTGGTATTGGTTTCATATCTAGAGAGCTTCCAGATTCCACGTGTCCTCATGCAGTAGCACAGTAGGCCAAGGGAGGTCATTTTACATCCATGGAAACCAAAGCTCAGAAAGCTTAGGGCTCCTCCAGGGTGACCTAATTGGTACTTTCTTTCATGGAAAATATTTTAATGAGCACCTTCTACACGCAAGGTTTTGTAGTTACAATGGACACGGGGTTCTAATGTTGAAAAAGACAGAGGTCGCCCCCCCCCCCCCCCCCCTGCCGACATCATCAAACATATATTCCAGTGGAGAAGACAGACATTTACTAAGTATTTATGCAAATGCTGATTTCATTACCGCTGTGGCAGTGCCATGGAGATGCATGGGTTGGCAGAAAGCATGGAGCAGGGGCCCCAGCGTAGTCCTGGGGGCCTGGGGAAGCTTCTCTGAGGAAGTAGCAAGTGAAGTTACAACTAAATGGTGCAAAGAGAGAAGTGGAGAGCATTTCAAGCAGAGGGACTAACAAGCAGAAAGGGCCTAAAGCAGGACTTGTTTGAGCATGGAACAAAGACCTTCAAGTGGTAAAGGTCTTCAAATCCACAGATTTCGATGCTCTTTTCCAGTATAATGAAGAGACCTTGTAGCATTTGGCCTGGATGTGGCCGGAGAAGATCACTTTCACCTCCCAGAAAAAGACTTGAACCTCAGCTTTAATATTCAGGCTGGGTGATATGAGGGACAATTAGTAACAACTCATAGCAAATATACTCAAGTTATATGAATTAATGGCAAATGATAGCAGTGTTTATTTCCTAGAATGAGATGGAAGCAATAATGTAATAACCATTATAATGTCATAGCATGGAAAGAGATGGGAACATTAATGTCATAATGTTACCTTCTGAGTAACATTAACTCACATTGGGTAGCACTTTCACATGTAATTGTTTTTCAGCCTCTTAACAACCACGTGAATGGGTATCGTCATCCTCATTTTATGGTTGAGGTTACTGAACTTTAGAAGATAAAGTTACTTGCCCATGGGACTCATCTGTTAAGAGGGAGAACTCGAATCCAAGTCCTTTGTCCCAACGATTGCATTTCCTCTAACCTGGCACGAATCCTGGATTCCCCACATTGCAGTTCTGTGACTCGGAGTGAATTACTTAACCTCTCTGCACCTCAGTGTCCTGCTTTATAAAATGGAGGTAATAATAACACTGACTCACAGGGTTAGTGTGATGGTTGAATGAGTTAATACACATAATGCGCTTAGGACAGTGCCCAGTATGTAGCAAAAGCCACGCAAGTGTTAGCCATATTACGAACCCTCGGTTACTACTACTTGTTTCAAGAACGGCTTAGTTTAAGATTTTAATTTTATATTAATAGCATTTGACCCTTCTATCCACTTATTCTGAAACTAATAGTGAGTAGATAAGATCACCCAAAAAAGGATATTCTTTCTTCCTTTTTGATAAATGGAATCTGTTAAAATTAGATTAATAGGCCTTGAACTTCAAAGGAGCCGTGAGCTTTTAGGCTAAAGCGATCACTCTCTTCTCCAACAAATCTGCCCTCTACAGCACGAGTACTTAAAGCCTGACCTTCATTCATTCATTCATTCATTCATTCATTGTCTTCCAATAGAACTTGCATTGAGCCCCCGCGGTGTGCTAGGCACTGTTCCAGATACAGCAGCAAGAAAACAGGCGAAGCCTGTGTCTTTTTCAGGCTTACATTCTATTCAGGAGGATAAAGAAAGAAAATAAAGAATATAATACATACTGTGCTACATGATGATAAGCACTTTTGAGAAAAATGAAGCAGAAAAGGGAATGAGGAGTGTATGTGAGGGTGTTTTAAACACAGCGATCAGTGAAAATTTCACTAAGAAGGTGACATTGTGCCAGGACTTGGAGGGGTTGGGGAGGGACCCCCTGCAGCTCCTGGGTTAATAGCATCCCAGGCAGGCTGTTTCCCACGTGTCCTCTAATTGCTTCTTATTGATTCTTCTGAGGAAAGAAACTTACCTTTACACTTGATTAAGTCATTATTTTCATTCATTTAGTAAGCATTTTATGATTACTTGCTTTGTTCTAAGCCCTGTCCTGGGTGCTGTGGCTTTGGATGAACAATGCACCATCCTGGCAATGATTGTGTAATTCACAGTGTATCCAGGAGACAGAAAGTAAATCCGCAATGACCCCACCATGTGACAAGGGCTGCATTTTAGCTTCCATAGCACCAGCTCCAGCGGCAGGCACAGAAAGTAAAGGCTGTTGTAGACCACTTGTTGCCTCCACTGTTTCAGAGGGTGAGGACTGAGGAATATTGTCTCCTTGGGCTTTGTAGTTGTTAATTTTTACTTTCTGGAGAGGACATGTTGTCTTGCTTTTGGGCAGGTATTCTCTTGAGGTATATCCCGCTGCAGGAAGCTCACGGCTTAATTCAAAAACAGAGTGCAAAGTGGGGTATGAGATGATACCTCCTGGATAGTCACAGCAGGACCCTGGCTTCCCCTGGAGACGCCACTACCAAGACTGTGAAACTGGCTGGGGTCCCTCTGGCCAAGATCTGTCACACCATGTGCCACCTGCAGCTGGATCCAGGGATCCCCTGGACATTCACATGTTCCCCCTGTAACCAGGGGAGTCAAGAGGACGGTTTCTTCCCTGTGTCACATGGCAAGGGCCCACTTCTCAGACCCAGCTACATGGGGCAACACGCAAGGCACCCATTTTCCTGCTTCCAGACAGACAGGCACTCACTTCACCTAGAATTGTGTTCCTGAGGGCAAAGGGAAATATGAGCCCTCATTTTTCCTTTAAAAAGTGTTCGTTTTTCGTCTTTTGCTCACTGGTGTTCCTGAGTACATATATATGCTTGCTGAGATGGAAAAGCTGCAAAAGCTTCAAAATCGTGTTACGGTCCAACATGTAAGCCAGGAAGATCCCTAGGGAGACAGTGAGAGTGTGGCAAGCAGCGACGTCTCACTTGGTGAGAGCCTGGTTATAGTATATGAAATTTAGCATTCCATGTTCTTTACCTAAAGATTTTGTACCCGAATATACCACGAGAATTCCTTTTGGTGGTCATCTTCCAGACAACAGGGTGAGTCCCCCTTCCTTTTTCCTGTGTGGCCACTGATTCAACCCAGCAGCAGAGCAGTCCTTCCAATTGGCAAGAATTCTCTGAATGCCTTCTATGTGCCTGGCAAAGTGAGAACTGCTATGAGCTGGTTAAGCAATGTAGCCCGCAGTTCCCATAAACAGCATTATGTCTGGTTAGAATTGGGCAACATACTCTTCTAAAGTCATCAAAACAACTCTCAGCCCCTGGAGATCAGGACTCACATTGTATTTGCATTTGTACTTTGGACACCTAAGGCAGGAACTGGATCCTAATCAACACTCAATGACCGTTCCTTGAATAAAAATATAGTGAATGAGAACTTAACATATTAATGTTATATTTAATATCTTTTCCTACTAGTACATTAAAATGTGAAAGTATGCAGCCCAGGGCAGGGCAGTTTAACACAAGACACATAATGGTCCTCTGACTGGAATCTTAGTGGAGCAGTTCTCTGGGAAGGGG